GGCCAATAGGTTGGCGTCGCTTTCTCATTACCTGTTCCGTGTTTTTCACCTGCATTTAAAGTTTTTTCCTCATCATAATTTAAGGTTGCTATTATTTGTCTAATAGGAAGTTCCAAGCTTGACTTGTGTTTCGTATTTTGCTCTACATTTGTGAACTCTCTTTTCACCTTCCTTCTTCCTCTAATTTATGGTTATTATGTCTCTCAAAGGGTTTGATGGATCTTATTCTTTAGTGCATATAATAATGTCGAAATGACGTTGTCTTTGAGAACATTATTTCTTATTATATTAATGTTCTTCTTATGGAATAGGTTGATCAAATGCTCATATTCTTCGATATGAGTTTTATGTTGAAATATCTTCTTGTGACGGAGGCGTTTTTGGTGTTTACTCTCTTTCTTGAAGTTTATAATATTTTATGGTAAAAACTCACACTCACTGACATCTTGTGAAAGGTACCAATTATTTGTGGAAGAGAACCTACTGCTACCGAGGCAGAGAAAGGGCTAGGTGCTCAACGCTCTACTGAATTAAGTGAAAAGGTTAATCAGGTAATCTCCTTCGTTAGATGAGCCATGCCAAAAAATAGGCACTTAAACATACATATTCTAGTTCACTTGGCTTTTTACACACTTTGTGTTATCTTAATCGCATTCCAAAATATGCTTGGCAGTTTATACTACGGAGGACTAATGCACTCTTATCAAATCACTTGCCACCAAAGGTAAGCCACTCATTGTATTATCTATAAACAAAGGTGAATCTTAGCATCACTTATTTTTATCTTTTATTTTTAACGTATAATTTTGCTTCATCGGAACAATTTTTATCTAGTTTGATTGGTGTGAGTTCCTTGTGTATTACAAAAATGAAGAAAAGCTCCTACAAAAGCTTGTTTTTTTCAACTTTTTATAAAGAAATCCACGCATATTCGCTATTTAAATATATTTATGGACACAAAAGACTTTCCTACTCCCCCTTCATTCTCTTTAATACTTCCTACCTGTATTTTATCTTAGGACTTAAAAGATCAATATATGTGACGTATACATGATCATTCCTTTGGTGTTAATTTCTATCAACTTATGATTGCCTCTATGCAAGGCCTATTAAATTCTATATTAACTATCCAAGGTCGTGGCTTTGTTTTCTGATCACATTTCAGTCAATTTGCTTATTCAGTGGAATAATAATGACATATTGACATCAAATGTGCTAACCCCTTGTCGTGTTAGTTTGGAACATTGATTGTCCTCGTATTCTACTAGAAGTTGTGTCCATCTATGAAGTATTCTTTCATATCTTCTATTCATTCCAAAATTTTGGATGTTAAATTATTTTTGAGCAGATAAGTAGGCAGGTTACAGTTTTGCGAGTTCTGGATTTG